ACATTGTTAGGAGATTTAAACTATACAGCGATTCTGCGCTCAGCTCAGCCGTCTCTCCAGTTTGTCATCATTTTTTCTGCCATTAGTTCTTCGTGAGATCGATCCTGTTGGACTCAGTAGGCTAGTAGTGAAACTACTCCCACAAGTACTATGAAGTACTTACTGTGTACTTTTTGAGTAACCCTCTGTCAGAGTCCCCTCCTGAGAACAAGAATGCATGTTTCTCTGCTATTTTTAATAAGCGTTAAAACACATTTCTTCCTGAGACTGATATTGTTGGACAGAGTATTTTAAGAGGATGGTAGACATGATATCAGCAATACTTCCAGTCAGTACTCCGGCAGCAGCATTTTCACACCTTGGAAAGTCTTTAGAGTCTGGCCTGGATAGGCTACTATGGAGGGGACTCTGACAGAGGATTACTCACAAAGTACACAGTAAAAGTACTTCATTTCATTTCTGGTAGTGTAGCACCCATAAGGTTGAGGTTGTCTACCTGCACATGCATGTTTATACCACAAGGGGGCAGATCACCTGATGGTTCTTCATTGTTTTATGCTGGAGATGAACAGAAGAAGTGTGTCTGTGTGTTGTGCTTTGAGATCGTTTGAGATGCTGACATCTTGCACATGTGCCTTGTGGAAGTTAATAAATGAACGTTTTCTACACCTATAATACCCTTGCGGTCTGAGTGGTGTAACAGTAGCAGTCAAATTAGTACAGAGTCCAACAGTGTCAGTTTTATTAAGAACTTGTGGACAAAAATATTTGTATCACTCATTGAATATAGCAGGGAAAAAAATGAAGAGCAGCTGATTTGAAAAATCAAACTGGAGAGACGGCTGAGGTGACCAGGTGCCAGAAAGCCTCAAACTGGAGAGACGGCTGAGGTGACCAGGTGCCAGAAAGCCTCAAACTGGAGAGACGGCTGAGGTGACCAGGTGCCAGAAAGCCTCAAACTGGAGAGACGGCTGAGGTGACCAGGTGCCAGAAAGCCTCAAACTGGAGAGACGGCTGAGGTGACCAGGTGCCAGAAAGCCACAAACTGGAGAGACGGCTGAGGTGACCAGGTGCCAGAAAGCCTCAAACTGGAGAGACGGCTGAGGTGACCAGGTGCCAGAAAGCCTCAAACTGGAGAGACGGCTGAGGTGACCAGGTGCCAGAAAGCCTCAAACTGGAGAGACGGCTGAGGTGACCAGGTGCCAGAAAGCCTCAAACTGGAGAGACGGCTGAGGTGACCAGGTGCCAGAAAGCCTCAAACTGGAGAGACGGCTGAGGTGACCAGGTGCCAGAAAGCCTCAAGTGGGACAGAGCTCTGTACCACTTGTGGCACAAACATACTCTAGAGTTTTTTACCACAAGTTCAGTGGCGTTTTTATATGTACAAAAGTGGTGGGGCACAAAAAACTTAGATGTCTATATATAAGCTTCTGCAGTGACGTGCAGTGAGGTTCATGGCTGCTGAGGCTCTGACTCTTCAGGTTTACAAATATTATATTTTGACCTAAACCAAAATATAATATTATTTTCAAAAGCTTTTTTTGTCTGATGCTTCGATTAATTTTAAACAGACAGTTCAACAAAAGGATACCCAAAAAATGTCATTTGATCATTTAAATATTGAATTGTTCTCTCTTAGTAAGATCCCATTTTCAATCAAATGGTGGTCTTACCTTGACTTGAAGATGAAGTCCATTTTCCTATCCTTCTGGACAAACATTTCTATTACTTTTTTGTAAAAGTCCTCCTTATGTTCTTGTAGTTTCAAAAGTCTATCATAAATCTAATCCATAGATTTATGATAAAAAAATGATAAAAGTAGGGTAGACATGTGGATGTTATCCGGCTGAACAAAACGTGCATTTATCTAACAGGTACGTTTCCCACAGATCTTATTTCCAGCTATTTTCTAAAATCCTCTGGAGAAATCTCATTGCTTTTTTGTCGAGGGAAGCCATGCGCAGCTTACTTCCTGGTTTTAGGACGCGTCACTGCAGCTCTCTCGTCTCCTCTTCACACACCACACTTTTCGCGGCACACGTACTTACAGCCAATCAGCTCTGAATGATGTGAGATGACGTATGGTGGGGATGGCAGCTCAGTGCCCCTCTGGTCATTATTTTTTTGCCACACACATTAAATAGGAAAATACTCTGAGCATGCGCAGTGTAGTTTTTACAGTCACCGTTCACTTCACAGTGAGAGGAAGGGGCATGATCAGGTTTTGTCCCACATGGCTCTAAACAGCTCAATAGGCACACACTGTGACTGTCAGCGGGGGGGGGGGGGGGGGGGGGGATACACTGTGGGTGGGACTAAGACACGAGGATAGGAGTCGAGGAGGGGAGTCGAGGAGGGGAATTGGTGAAATGAGAAAGGGCCCCTGAACACACCACAGTGTTATCTATCTAGTGTTAAAGATGTGACCCTGAACACATCACAGTGTTATATATCTGGAGTTAAAGATGTGACCCTGAACACACCACAGTGTTATCTATCTGGTGTTAAAGATGTGACCCTGAACACACCACAGTGTTATCTATCTAGTGTTAAAGATGTGACCCTGAACACACCACAGTGTTATCTATCTAGTGTTAAAGATGTGACCCTGAACACACAACAGTGTTATCTATCTAGTGTTAAAGATGTGACCCTGAACACACCACAGTGTTATCTATCTAGTGTTAAAGATGTGACCCTGAACACACCACAGTGTTATCTATCTAGTGTTAAAGATGTGACCCTGAACACACAACAGTGTTATCTATCTAGTGTTAAAGATGTGACCCTGAACACACCACAGTGTTATCTATCTGGTGTTAAAGATGTGACCCTGAACACACCACAGTGTTATCTATCTAGTGTTAAAGATGTGACCCTGAACACACCACAGTGTTATCTATCTGCTGTTAAAGATGTGACCCTGAACACACCACAGTGTTATCTATCTGGTGCTAAAGATGTGACCCTGAACACACAACAGTGTTATCTATCTAGTGTTAAAGATGTGACCCTGAACACACCACAGTGTTATCTATCTGCTGTTAAAGATGTGACCCTGAACACACCACAGTGTTATCTATCTGGTGCTAAAGATGTGACCCTGAACACACCACATTGTTATCTATCTGTTGTTAAAGATGTGACCCTGAACACACCACAGTGTTATCTATCTGCTGTTAAAGATGAACACCACAGTACAATAAGTGTAAAAATCACTGATTAGAGAAAAAGCAAAGAACACACCATGTGACTGCAGCGTGACACAGCGTCAGATAACAGGAAGTGTGTCTGGATCTGAGACAGCAGACTATTGATCCTGATGAAAGAACATACATAACACTCATCTGTTTGCAACTCACATATATCTTATCAATATTCCAATGACTGTATATAAACTATTCTGCACAGTTTCTATCATATTCTGTTTCTACTATATTCTATTTTATTTTACTTACTTGTACTATTCGATCTGTGTTATTGGGTAGCTCTGTGGGAGGAGCCTGGGTCCTCAGATGTTCATTGTCATGACTACACTGTAGCTCTGTGGGAGGAGCCTGGGTCCTCAGATGTTCATTGTCATGACTACACTGTAGCTCTGTGGGCGGAGCCTGTGACCTCAGATGTTCATTGTCATGACTACACTGTAGCTCTGTGGGAGGAGCCTGTGACCTCAGATGGTCATTGTCATATCTACACTGTAGCTCTGTGGGAGGAGCCTGGGACCTCAGATGTTCATTGTCATGACTACACTGTAGCTCTGTGGGAGGAGCCTGGGACCTCAGATGTTCATTGTCATGACTACACTGTAGCTCTGTGGGCGGAGCCTGGGACCTCAGATGTTCATTGTCATGACTACACTGTAGCTCTGTGGGAGGAGCCTGGGACCTCAGATGTTCATTGTCATGACTACACTGTCGCTCTGCACACATGACACTAAAAGCCTTGAACCTTGAGATGAGGAGTGTGTGTCCACAGCAGAGGACTCCACTGAGCAGCACACACACACTGTCCCTACTCCACGGTGCAGAGGACACATGAGGGAGCCATCCTCCTGACAGACTCTCATCCTCCAGAGGCTGGAGGGCAGCCAATGAGCCGTCTGACAGCTCCGGCCAATGGCTGCTCTCTGTCGCCACCATGATCGATACACATATGCAGGTATAAGTGTTTTAAAAGCACAGAGGGAGAGTGCTACTCCATTTCCCTCTGCTTCATTTATTAATGCACTTCCACTTTGCTCTCATTGGTGGGAAGTTACAAAGTACTTCACTTCAGTCTTTCTTCAGAATCAGAATCCTTTATTTGTCCCTCAACAGAGAAATGACCAATATTACAACAGCAGAAACCCCATTCAAAAAAAGAATATATACGTACTAACATTTGATCCTTTTTGTATCAATGCAAATGTATTCCATTAGTTTAGCCCAAGCCGTTTAGTCCTTCCTTTAGAAAATAAAAGCACACCACCCGATGAAATGTCTCCCTGTGATTCTCATTACCTTCACCCTTAAAGCAGTCCCATGCAGTACAAGAGCACAGAGCAGAAAACCCACTATCCCACGTATCGTATTTCTACTTCACAGTTTGGGATAACGTCTCTGGGAGGCTTCATTCAGAAGTTACAATCATTTCACATTTTGAACATCCATGTCTTACTTCAAATGAAGTATTCACCAGTTCAATAAATATCCTATGAGCTCATAGTCATGTGACTTTTTCCCACTTCGCAATTTTGCAAGGTTAGCCCAAAACGTTTAAATGGATGTGAAGTCGTGACAATACTAAAAGTATTACTATAACTTCTTTTAAATTAGTTTGATTAATGTCTCCTTATAGCTTTGTGAAGCACCTTGAGATGACGCTGTTTTTAAAGTGAGCTATATGCATGTATTATTATTACTGAGGTTTCATGTTTTTAACCCACTGATTGAATTAGAATAGTCCAACGAATCAAAGAATCCTTGTGTTCCTAATTTGTATAAATGAACAGAAATCTCTCAACCCTTTATGGGGCACACGTGGGTCAACAGAACGTCCACCATATTCTTAATAATGGGAGGTAGCGGGTGGATGTTGTGACCCAAGTCATGGGCAAGAACCATCTCCCAGGCATCGACCCAGTGAACATTCAGTCCTTTGAACACGGATCTGAGCACACGATCAATCTGCATGGAGTACCAGTCGCTGTATGATTGCGACATATAAAGAGTCATATCTGTGGGGGCTCCGCTCCGCATGATGACCACGGTGTTCGGAGCGCGCTCCAGCAGCTGCTGCACCGCACTGCGGATGCTCAGCAGCCTCCGGATGTACATCTCTATTGGTAATGGGCCGAAGTGTGCCCAGACGCCAACGACCACAACAGTGTCTGCGCCTCCCATCAAGCCATGGAGTTCGTTGGCGATGTAGCGCAGCTGTCTGACCAGCACCGTGCTGGTAGTGAGCGGGGGGGGGCGTGGCAGCGCCACGTCATCAGGATGTTGTGCGCATGGTCCACGAGCATCAGGGGGCCAACCTTCACCGTCACGTGAAGGTTGGCCTGACCTACAAGGACACAGAAAAGATATGTGAAGAATTCAAGACACATCTTTTTAGATCAGCTTTTTATTAGCAACTTGAAATGTTCTTTTAGTCTTCATTATTTACTTTTATATTGTTTCATTCATTTTATATATTTTTATTTTATTTCTGTTGTTCACTTTGTTTTATGGGGTTTTATGTTACACTGCTGCATCGACTCAGTTGTCTTGTCTCTTATCTGTCGGAGAGAAACCGTATTGTATTTGTATCATCATGCCTCTCACCTCCTTGTGTTCAACTGATCACATGTTATATGTTTCGCTGCATGGACCTTTTAAACCTCTCAAATCATCTGAGGGGAATTCCTAGTTGTTTGTTTTGAACTTGTGAAGTGTCATTTTGTACTTTGAGCTGCATGTGTTGTATGAAAAGTGCTATATAAATAAAGCTTTATTATTATTAAATGCAACAGTTGCCAGGCCTTCATGTGGATCACTAACTACCTGGTATCTTCTGGCTTAAGAATTCAAACCACTGCCTGACGGTGGAGTCTCCGTAAAGGTGGAGTTTCTTGGCCTTCAGACACTTTATGGTGGCAGGGTTGTCAAACTGGCGAGCTGTGGGGCTCCCTCGTGCCTTCCAGACTCCCTTGTAGTAATGGCCGCTGGGTCCGGGTGTCACGATGAGGCTCTTATGCTCTGCTTGATCTGAGAGGGAGTTAGAGGACAACGGTTTTATTAGAGGAACATATTCTGCTGATGTTCAGGTGTATATCAGTGTGTAGTGTCTCTACTTTAAAGAGTTCAGCTTCCCTGCTGATGTTCAGGTGTATAGTCAGTATGTGTGTCTCTACTTTAAAGAGTCCTCTCCTGCTGATGGTTCAGGTGTATATCAGTGTGTAGTGTCTCTACTTTAAAGAGTCCTCTCCTGCTGATGTTCAGGTGTATATCAGTATGTAGTGTCTCTACTTTAAAGAGTCCTCTCCTGCTGATGTTCAGGTGTATATCAGTATGTAGTAGTCTCTACTTTAAAGAGTCCTCCTCTGCTGATGTTCAGGTGTATATCAGTATGTAGTGTCTCTACTTTAAAGAGTCTCTCCTGCTGATGTTCAGGTGTATATCAGTATGTAGTGTCTCTACTTTAAAGAGTCCTCTCCTGCTGATGTTCAGGTGTATATCAGTATGTAGTGTCTCTACTTTAAAGAGTCCTCTCCTGCTGATGTTCAGGTGTATATCAGTATGTAGTGTCTCTACTTTAAAGAGTCCTCTCCTGCTGATGTTCAGGTGTATATCAGTATGTAGTGTCTCTACTTTAAAGAGTCCTCTCCTGCTGATGTTCAGGTGTATATCAGTATGTAGTGTGTCTCTACTTTAAAGAGTCCTCTCCTGCTGATGTTCAGGTGTATATCAGTATGTAGTGTCTCTACTTTAAAGAGTCCTCTCCTGCTGATGTTCAGGTGTATATCAGTATGTAGTGTCTCTACTTTAAAGAGTCCTCTCCTGCTGATGTTCAGGTGTATATCAGTATGTAGTGTCTCTACTTTAAAGAGTCCTCTCCTGCTGATGTTCAGGTGTATATCAGTATGTAGTGTCTCTACTTTAAAGAGTCCTCTCCTGCTGATGTTCAGGTGCTATATCAGTATGTAGTGTCTCTACTTTAAAGAGTCCTCTCCTGCTGATGTTCAGGTGTATATCAGTATGTCGTGTCTCTACTTTAAAGAGTCCTCTCCTGCTGATGTTCAGGTGTATATCAGTATGTAGTGTCTCTACTTTAAAGAGTCCTCTCCTGCTGATGTTCAGGTGTATATCAGTATGTCGTGTCTCTACTTTAAAGAGTCCTCTCCTGCTGATGTTCAGGTGTATATCAGTATGTTGTGTCTCTACTTTAAAGAGTCCTCTCTTGCTGATGTTCAGGTGTATATCAGTATGTAGTGTCTATACTTTAAAGAGTCCTCTCCTGCTCATGTTCAGGTGTATATCAGTATGTAGTGTCTCTACTTTAAAGAGTCCTCTCCTGCTGATGTTCAGGTGCATATCAGTATGTAGTGTCTCTACTTTAAAGAGTCCTCTCCTGCTGATGTTCAGGTGTATATCAGTATGTAGTGTCTCTACTTTAAAGAGTCCTCTCCTGCTCATGTTCAGGTGTATATCAGTATGTAGTGTCTCTACTTTAAAGAGTCCTCTCCTGCTGATGTTCAGGTGTATATCAGTATGTCGTGTCTCTACTTTAAAGAGTCCTCTCCTGCTGATGTTCAGGTGTATATCAGTGGTGTAGTGTCTCTACTTTAAAGAGTCCTCTCCTGCTGATGTTCAGGTGTATATCAGTATGTTGTGTCTCTACTTTAAAGAGTCCTCTCCTGCTGATGTTCAGGTGTATATCAGTATGTAGTGTCTCTACTTTAAAGAGTCCTCTCCTGCTGATGTTCAGGTGTATATCAGTATGTAGTGTCTCTACTTTAAAGAGTCCTCTCCTGCTGATGTTCAGGTGTATATCAGTATGTAGTGTCTCTACTTTAAAGAGTCCTCTCCTGCTCATGTTCAGGTGCATATCAGTATGTAGTGTCTCTACTTTAAAGAGTCCTCTCCTGCTGATGTTCAGGTGTATATCAGTATGTCGTGTCTCTACTTTAAAGAGTCCTCTCCTGCTGATGTTCAGGTGTATATCAGTATGTAGTGTCTCTACTTTAAAGAGTCCTCTCCTGCTGATGTTCAGGTGTATATCAGTATGTAGTGTCTCTACTTTAAAGAGTCCTCTCCTGCTGATGTTCAGGTGTATATCAGTATGTAGTGTCTCTACTTTAAAGAGTCCTCTCCTGCTGATGTTCAGGTGTATATCAGTATGTAGTGTCTCTACTTTAAAGAGTCCTCTCCTGCTGATGTTCAGGGTGTATATCAGTATGTAGTGTCTCTACTTTAAAGAGTCCTCTCCTGCTGATGTTCAGGTGTATATCAGTATGTAGTGTCTCTACTTTAAAGAGTCCTCTCCTGCTGATGTTCAGGTGTATATCAGTATGTAGTGTCTCTACTTTAAAGAGTCCTCTCCTGCTGATGTTCAGGTGTATATCAGTATGTAGTGTCTCTACTTTAAAGAGTCCTCTCCTGCTGATGTTCAGGTGTATATCAGTATGTAGTGTCTCTACTTTAAAGAGTCCTCTCCTGCTGATGTTCAGGTGTATATCAGTATGTAGTGTCTCTACTTTAAAGAGTCCTCTCCTGCTGATGTTCAGGTGTATATCAGTATGTAGTGTCTCTACTTTAAAGAGTCCTCTCCTGCTGATGTTCAGGTGTATATCAGTATGTAGTGTCTCTACTTTAAAGAGTCCTCTCCTGCTGATGTTCAGGTGTATATCAGTATGTAGTGTCTCTACTTTAAAGAGTCCTCTCCTGCTGATGTTCAGGTGTATATCAGTATGTAGTGTCTCTACTTTAAAGAGTCCTCTCCTGCTGATGTTCAGGTGTATATCAGTATGTAGTGTCTCTACTTTAAAGAGTCCTCTCCTGCTGATGTTCAGGTGTATATCAGTATGTAGTGTCTCTACTTTAAAGAGTCCTCTCCTGCTGATGTTCAGGTGTATATCAGTATGTAGTGTCTCTACTTTAAAGAGTCCTCTCCTGCTGATGTTCAGGTGTATATCAGTATGTAGTGTCTCTACTTTAAAGAGTCCTCTCCTGCTGATGTTCAGGTGTATATCAGTATGTAGGTCTCTACTTTAAAGAGTCCTCTCCTGCTGATGTTCAGGTGTATATCAGTATGTAGTGTCTCTACTTTAAAGAGTCCTCTCCTGCTGATGTTCAGGTGTATATCAGTATGTAGTGTCTCTACTTTAAAGAGTCCTCTCCTGCTGATGTTCAGGTGTATATCAGTATGTAGTGTCTCTACTTTAAAGAGTCCTCTCCTGCTGATGTTCAGGTGTATATCAGTATGTAGTGTCTCTACTTTAAAGAGTCCTCTCCTGCTGATGTTCAGGTGTATATCAGTATGTAGTGTCTCTACTTTAAAGAGTCCTCTCCTGCTGATGTTCAGGTGTATATCAGTATGTAGTGTCTCTACTTTAAAGAGTCCTCTCCTGCTGATGTTCAGGTGTATATCAGTATGTAGTGTCTCTACTTTAAAGAGTCCTCTCCTGCTGATGTTCAGGTGTATATCAGTATGTAGTGTCTCTACTTTAAAGAGTCCTCTCCTGCTGATGTTCAGGTGTATATCAGTATGTAGTGTCTCTACTTTAAAGAGTCCTCTCCTGCTGATGTTCAGGTGTATATCAGTATGTAGTGTCTCTACTTTAAAGAGTCCTCTCCTGCTGATGTTCAGGTGTATATCAGTATGTAGTGTCTCTACTTTAAAGAGTCCTCTCCTGCTGATGTTCAGGTGTATATCAGTATGTAGTGTCTCTACTTTAAAGAGTCCTCTCCTGCTGATGTTCAGGTGTATATCAGTATGTAGTGTCTCTACTTTAAAGAGTCCTCTCCTGCTGATGTTCAGGTGTATATCAGTATGTAGTGTCTCTACTTTAAAGAGTCCTCTCCTGCTGATGTTCAGGTGTATATCAGTATGTAGTGTCTCTACTTTAAAGAGTCCTCTCCTGCTGATGTTCAGGTGTATATCAGTATGTAGTGTCTCTACTTTAAAGAGTCCTCTCCTGCTGATGTTCAGGTGTATATCAGTATGTAGTGTCTCTACTTTAAAGAGTCCTCTCCTGCTGATGTTCAGGTCCTGCTGATGTTCAGGTGTATATCAGTATGTAGTGTCTCTACTTTAAAGAGTACTCTCCTGCTCATGTTCAGGTGTATATCAGTATGTAGCGTCTCTACTTTAAAGAGTCCTCTCCTGCTGATGTTCAGGTGTATATCAGTATGTAGTGTCTCTACTTTAAAGAGTCCTCTCCTGCTGATGTTCAGGTGTATATCAGTATGTCGTGTCTCTACTTTAAAGAGTCCTCTCCTGCTGATGTTCAGGTGTATATCAGTATGTAGTGTCTATACTTTAAAGAGTCCTCTCCTGCTGATGTTCAGGTGTATATCAGTATGTAGTGTCTCTACTTTAAAGAGTCCTCTCCTGCTGATGTTCAGGTGTATATCAGTATGTAGTGTCTCTACTTTAAAGAGTCCTCTCCTGCTGATGTTCAGGTGTATATCAGTATGTAGTGTCTCTACTTTAAAGAGTCCTCTCCTGCTGATGTTCAGGTGTATATCAGTATGTAGTGTCTCTACTTTAAAGAGTCCTCTCCTGCTGATGTTCAGGTGTATATCAGTATGTAGTGTCTCTACTTTAAAGAGTCCTCTCCTGCTGATGTTCAGGTGTATATCAGTATGTAGTGTCTCTACTTTAAAGAGTCCTCTCCTGCTGATGTTCAGGTGTATATCAGTATGTAGTGTCTCTACTTTAAAGAGTCCTCTCCTGCTGATGTTCAGGTGTATATCAGTATGTAGTGTCTCTACTTTAAAGAGTCCTCTCCTGCTGATGTTCAGGTGTATATCAGTATGTAGTGTCTCTACTTTAAAGAGTCCTCTCCTGCTGATGTTCAGGTGTATATCAGTATGTAGTGTCTCTACTTTAAAGAGTCCTCTCCTGCTGATGTTCAGGTGTATATCAGTATGTAGTGTCTCTACTTTAAAGAGTCCTCTCCTGCTGATGTTCAGGTGTATATCAGTATGTAGTGTCTCTACTTTAAAGAGTCCTCTCCTGCTGATGTTCAGGTGTATATCAGTAT